GCATTCAGCAGTAAGTGCCCTCATTTGAACATCCCTTTTTTCTTCCCTGTAACCCAAGAATACTTATATCCTCCTGACCTACAACATAGCTTGTAATGACTCTTACCACCTTTAATGTATGTCCCACAGTATAACCCAGGCAATCTTACAACAGCTCATTCGTCAGTCATTTTTCATTAACAAAACAATCTGAACAGAAACACCCAGAGAATGAGTAAGACATTCATCCCGGAGGTTTTGGTAAATAGCTGGGCAGGCAGAACTCCTAATGCAGGTAAAGTTTACCCAAGCAGAACACAAAATTTTGTTATATGACAGGTCAATGTTATGAAATTAATTCCCCCGTTTACTCAGAGCTGTTACAAAATTTGTTGCCCTTCACCTTGAACGCAAGCTGTCTTTTTAGACTTGTTCTCTTAACAAATACATCACAATAGATATTATACTACACCAAACCTTTAGTAAACTTGTTACTAAAACAAAACTCTGCATTGTATTTACTTCCTCTCATCACTCCAACAATATGATGAAAAGTCATACTGCTCAGTAACACACTGCTAGATGGCACAAGGATCATAGGTGCCAGCATGACCTAAAAATCCTATATAAAACAGCAAAAGCAGAATAGAATTTCAACCCACCCCACCTCTACAAACTGAATCCCATTAATTCAGTGTTATACAGATGACAATTTGGTTAACTTGATATTCTTAAGACACACTACAGTATCCACAGACACCATTCCACTTCCTTGAAAGACAATACGATTAGTGATCAATGGACAGCTCTTCCCCTTCAGAATGTCCTGATATTAGCACAGGTGGGGTGTACATGTTTTACTACAGATATATTTTAAAAAGTCTCTGAAAAAAAAAAAAGTGTAAAAACTTCCTCACCTCACATATCCATGGTTGTACAGTGGATAGCATGTTACTGGAGGTACATAGCCTATAAAAAATTCTTAAAACACGATTTTTTTTCTTAAAAACAGCTGCCCAAACAAACCACGTCTAGAAATCTTCACCCAGAAAAGGCACCATTGCTCAAAGGAAAGTTTGCTTGAGGGAAGGAAAAAAAAACCCACAAAAGTGACAAGTGTGTAACATTCCACAGTTCATCTAGAACTGCTGCAGCCCACTCTAAGTTACAATGTCAGTGGCTGTTTATGCTCTAAGGAAGTACAGTAAGTACAGTACAGCCCATTCAGGTTGCTGGAATGTCACTGATCATATGCTCAATTGCATCTATTCATTAGAAAAATTCAATCCACAACAGCAGCTGCATTTACCACCACACCCCAAACGCCAAACACCATCCAGTTGCCCCAGGTGATTCCAGCGGTTTACCATCCCACAGGACAGATGCTCCATGCTCTTGTCCCTCTACAGTGACTGCAAGTTACACTTCCAAGACCGAGTTTTATTTACTAAAGAATGGTATATTAGGAGTGCTTTTGGCTTCAAGCTTTTGCAACAAAAAAGATCTGGTCTTTAGCAGTCATGTTCTACGAGTTTCAAAACTATTTAGGCTGCACTAATTATTTTTGATTCAAACTCGCTAAACAATTACTGTTGAGAAGATGACTTAAGCAAACAACAGCCAAGTTACTCCATTTGTTTCAGAAAAACGATGACTAATTATGCATGTAATTTTGTTCTTTATCTCTTTTTTTAAAAAAAGTGGGTAATTCTGGCTTCTTTCAGGTCACTTGCAAAGTCCCCATTAAGTTCAGGGGACCAGATCTCACTGTAAAATCATAAACTGCACAGTGGCTGAAAAATAAATCTTTCTGAAAGAATATGGGTCATTTAAAAGGACACTGGCAACTTTCTAACCAATTAAAAAAAAAATCTGTTTTCACATGTAACACCTACAATGACTGTAACTGAAAGACACAAGAATTTGGTATTTAATTCATGAATTACACCGCATTTCATATACTTGTTAAGTTTACCAAGCGGTTTATAACCGATTTCCTGGCTGTGTGAGTCTTTCACAGAGCAACAGTAAAGTATTAAAATGTTATGTTTCCTTTTTATTTAATTAAACCAATTTCAACTTCATCTTAAAACTTAGAGTCATTTAGGCAGAACAGGTTGCTACAAACCCTAATAAGCAACATCTCTTGTAAGATGTAAAATGGTTGTTGTTAAAAACTAACTATACCATATGAGTGGAGCTAGTAAGAGTAATAAGTAGAAGTATCCTTTCCCTAGCCTCTAAAATTTGTCTTCCTTCTCAATTGCCACTGCTTCCCTTCGCTCTTCCAAAAATCCTTATTGTGGCCTAATAGACAGACTGAAGAAAAATCCTGATCCTTGCATGGTGTCCACCAGAACAGATTACCCACAAGGTTAGGATTACTTTTCAGTGTTCCATCTAGAACATCAAAAACCATCAGCCCAAATTCAGCTTGAAAATGGAGTTCCCGTAAGATCAAATTGAATGTTATAGCTATCTATTCGTTCTTCACAGCTTCCTAGAACACCCACAATTAGAGCTTCTTATGACAAATTGCCAACTTCGGGAGGCTTGCAGCTGCTGAACAGCTGACCTGTGTACCATGAAGCAGGATGGGGAGGTGTAAGATCCTGTACTCTGCAGACTTGCAGTAGAGGAAGGCTCGAGTAGACCATTAGCTATTCATGAACTGAAATCCTTAACCTCAAAACCTCTGCTCCTGGGATTTGAGGGCAAAGATGGGAGGTGGGCTTCAATGCCCATTTACCAACCTCACACTAGCATTGGGTTCAGAGTTATATAAAACCATCCCCAAAGAAAGCGAAGCTGCCTTCAGTTCTCCATCAAATCAGAGATCTGTTAGCTACAGGACTACAGAAAATGTCCATGTGGTAGGCATTTAAAGGCTTTGATTCACAACCAGGGACAGGGTAGCTTGGGACTGATAATTTACCAGACATCATGATCTGAAACAGTTCGGCATCTGATTCAAAACAGCTCAGGAAGGGAAAAAACTAGAGAGAGTAATCAAGTCTATCGCGCTACACCATGCCATCCCTAGGGCCAGATGCCGTTCAAACCATCTCAAGAGAATCCATTCATTCACAGCCCTTCAGGACAGCCAACCTTCATATGGCCTGGACTCACATCAGAAAACCCAGCATTTTTAGCCACAGGATTCCAGTCGTCTCGAAATCTCTATGTGGACTCCAGCCAAATGTGATCTGCTTATGCCTAGAGCTGAATGCCAAACACGGCTAAGGGATAGGCCCAATAATGCCATCTCGAGGCAACAAGTCAACCTTGGGAGAAACTCTAAATATGAGGATGGAAGGATCATGGCCAATGAGTAGGGGAAAAAAAGAAAACAACCAAAAATGTGCAGATAAATTTAAGGAAGTATCAAAAATCTCCACAGCAGAGTCAGAACTGGGCTCAGCGCTCTATAAGAAGCAATATCATTGTATGAACACTGAAGTCAAAATAGCTAAATATATAAAAAACTTTATAGTCCATTACACCTCCTTAAATACCAAGAGATTTAACAGGTGGTCAGATATTTCTGTTTTATACATTGGTTTAACACTACTGGGCTGTAGTGTGTTCAAAGTACTTTCCAAGATTTCAGTCCAACGAGCCTGTTCTGTGTGTGAACAATTTGTCCGTGTAACCTACCAAACGTGCACTTCCAATCCAGAATCCAGCTGTGCTCATTTAACCTTGGCTCATACGCACAGGGAGTGTTCTCATCCTAAACAGCCAGGGAACTCTAGAGGGTAGAGTTCTAAAACACACTGTTTTCATGGCGTACTTAAGATCAGAGAAAATCCTTGGTTTCTCCACTTAAATAATTCAGTACAGCATCTTGGTTCACTGGACTAGGAAGTGTTTACTTATACTGCAGCCCTTCTCATTGGATCTGCAACCTACTCTAGCTCTGATTACCTCACATAGCATAAACGCCTTGGAATAGAAACAGCACTAATTAGTATTTATGTAGCTCCAGGGAAATGCACCCTGTTTACGATAATGCTTGATGTTAGTTTTGTTATACAGACTCAGAACACAATGTAGGAGAGTCAAGAGACTCACACTCTGCCATGACTACATGGAGGCTAAGTTTTGAAATCCAGGAAATGCCACTGAAAGCACTCTGGTTTTAAATCTCTCCAATTTAAATCAAGGATTATAAATGGAAATGTTTCAGCTTGTCAACAACTGCCATTTAATGACATGGAAAAAAAGTTGTTCCTACAACAATCAGAATCTGAACTCAAACCAGCACTTTGTCTCTAAAAAGCAAAATTTTGAACTGTTGTTGGACAGAGGTGAAAGTCGATACCAATACTGGATGCACAAGCAAGATGAAGATAGATCAACACAAAAAGACTGTGTTCTGCACCAAGTGAATGGTCTCTGAATTAAGAAAACATTCTAGTATCAATCCCAGAATGACCAAAAAAAAAAAATCACCTCTACACCCTGAGCAGGGCTACCACCTCTTAATAGAAGGAGAGAGGTGAGGAAAAACAGGTGTGTACTGAACCACTGCTGTTTGCTGAACATCCAGCCAATTCCACCTGCTTCTGGCCAACAGAAAGGGAGCTTCTTCAAATACCATATACTGTCTCTGTCATTTCTTACAGTTGCTTCTGACAGTGAGCAGAGCTTAGATCTGCTAGACAAAATTCCACCCTATTACTCACAGCTGTTGCAGAGAAAAATTAAGAACAAAAAAGAAGAAATAAAAAAAAATAAGGCAAGTTACCCTGTCTTATATATCAACTGAAGAAATCATAAAAGAATCCTAGAGGTCACCATGACTGTCTTTAACATGAATTAATCCCAAACTAGGCACTTCTCTCAAAAGGAAGTCCATCTACTCTGCTAGTCATACAGCAACACAACTGCCAGAGGAATTGGTGCATGTCTATGATTCTGTTATTTTGACAGCCACCATCAAAATCCTTTCTTCAATCCTGAGTGTAAACTTGTTTTGACAGCAGCGACAACCCCCTCCCCTCCAAACTGGTACGTACCTGATCACAACCTGCATTCACCAGCTCCTGGAGCATCTGCCTGTTCACTTCAACAGCTGCTGTGGTGCTCGACTCATTAGCAAAGGGCAGCAAAGAATATCTAATTTCCCGCAGAGCTTTCTGATATGGTCCAAACTTGGGCGTTTGTCTCATCTGCTGCTGCCTTGCAGCATCCTTCCCTATTAAAATCTTAGGGTCCAGAGAAGTTTCACTGCCTGGTCCAATAGGCAGTCCCTGACCTGAAGATTTGGATGGCTGCTTTAAACCTTCTCGAATCTCTTGTAACCTTTGTCTGCTGTTTCCAGAATATGTCGTAGCAGGAAAAGTCTTTGGCCTCATTGTTAATCCAGTTTTCTCTGAGCATAAATACAGCTTTATGCTTTGTTTTTTTAAAAGTATTTCAAAAAAGTGTCACTTGATATTTTCAATTTCTTGTAAACATAATCCTTTGAAGAGAAAAAGGCAAAATTCTCAAGAGATTTCTGCCAATGTTTTACTTCAGCTCAAAATCTTCACATTTCCTACAGAAAATGAAAATCTGTGGAATCATCATTTTGCAGACCGACAGTGTCTGAAACAAAAGAAAACAAAAAGTACATGGAATTAAGTTCATAGTGTGAATGCCTCTGAAGGGACAGCATGACAATTAATCAAGTGAAAGTGAATCAGTTTAACCTCTTAAGCTGTCACAGCTGGATACCCTTTAATGATTTTCACTTTATCTGTTTTCAATAACAGGATTCCAAAAGGCCTTCTCAACATAATCAATAAATAATTCATTTTTCTTTTAAGTTTAATTTTCAAAATAAATTAAAATAAAACTTTCAAAAACTACAACATTTAAGAATTTTACAGTACCCTAACTGTGGCAAGTTTCCCATCCAATTGCATAACCAAATCCCGGAGAAGCCTATGCTATTTCATAATTAGGGAAGAGTATGCTCATGAAATGTTTTTTTCCTCACTTAATATTTTGTTTGTTTTACACTAGCTGAGCCTAGATTCAGAAGTTTATGAAGAAGATTTATAATGGAAATATTGATGACTCTAACCATAGCAACTTCTAGTATTTCAATAACAAAGCAAATAACAGAAAGACAAGACATTTTGCCTTTCCACATGAATATCTTGGCAAAGCCTGAAGGTAACAATTCTCCCCAGAGCTGGAAGGACGAAGGGGGAAAAAAAAAGGAGGCGAGGGGGTATATGATATTTCATTAGCTGTGCCTTATAGGGAAGAAAGGGAAAAGAGGGGTAAACAGAGCTGCACAGTAACAGCAGAAGACAAAGAACCAGAGCAGATAGCATCCCAACACAGAAAAAAAAGACTTTGAGACAGCTTTATGCACCTCTTCTGACATGCAGCAGAGAACAACTATGCAGCTGAGCTACTGTGCAGCTTGTGATCCCTGTGAAGCACAAAGTTACAACAAGAATTCTACCTTAACTAAGTTTTCATACATCACCATCAGAAACATTAAATAACGGTGCATTTGGAACAGGATTAAAGACAGTTTAATCAGAAATGTCATCTAGCAATGCTGCCTATGCAGGTTTGCTTCTGCTGCTGTCATTAGCACTTGTAAAGTGACTTTGAATGCTGCTCCAGCCACTGCGCTGGTAAAGTCAGAATTCTGCTCAGTTGTTTTCAAATCGCAAATACTGCCGATGGTAACACACTGCATGTTTCTCTCCGTCACTCAGAAGCTGACTTGTTTTTTTTTTAAAAGGTGCTTTGCTTGTGATCATACACATTTATAACTGAAAAAGAGCTTCTCCACAAAGTATTGTTCTTTATTTTCACATGCTCAGATTAAAAAACTTCACTGTGGCAGCCCTTCCTGTGACAGCTATAGCATTTCCCAACAAAATAACCATTTCCATACATTTACCGTTAGTTCTCGCTGCCTAGCAAGCAGCTTACTACTGTGAAGGCCAAGAGAAACACATTCACCTCTGAAGCCCATCACCACTTCCTCATCAGCGCAGAGTCCACTTCGAGCTTTCCTCTACAACCAAGGACTGAAATGCAGCAGTGAAGTCAGACCCAAGACTCTTCTGGGATGGTTCACCAGTTTGAAATGCAGGAGCACAGACTAACCACTCGAGATCAACCCACGTCAACCTCCTTTGCTACGATTTAAATGCTCTGTTAACTAAAAAACACCTATAATGCATTTGAGGTGTTGAGCTCCTCCACTTGGTACTCCCTACAGATATCCACCAACACTAACTCATAGAGGAATGAGAGTGACATAAATGCCCACACGCACACTGGAAAGGGTTTGCCACTTGTTTTAAAGGGAGTGCTAAAGCTGTTCATCTAGGTTTTGATGTTTTCACAAATTGGCTATTAGTCAATAACAAATCAAGCTTTCATTGTCCTAAGTGAAAACAAAAGCAACTAAAAGATCCCAAGAACAGAATTTTTTCTACTTGGGCAGAATATAGCCCTGTTAAAAAAATAAAACACAATAGTATTGCAACCTTCTTCAGATTACATCATAACTAGCTAGAAGATACAGAGCAATTAATTAGTCTATAATTGTCTTTCTTTTCCTGACAGCAGCAGGCACCATATGGCTGTGTTTAGGCATCTGGGTTGTTCTTCCTTTTCAGTCCCTGTGCCAATCCTCAGGCCTTGGACACGCTGAGAGAGCTTGCAAGACCCCCACCTTTTCGCAGCAAAAGACTGCATTCCCACTTACACACACACTTCACATAAAGAACTTCTGCGACCTTTAGCCTAAGGCCAAGTCTAATAATGCTGGGTCAAGCCAGCTGGCAACTTCCTAGGCTTACATCTACAATACTGCTAAACCAGAAAGAAACATTGGTCGTTCAGACAGTATGAATGAGAGCAACAACAACAGTAAGTAGTGGAGCTAAGTGCAAACCTGTTTCATATTTTGCAGGGCTTTTTTTTTTTTAAACTAAATATGTAAGATAAGCCAAGAAACTGGAACACTAAATATTACAGATGATTTACAAAGAAAGACAAGCTGCCTGCTTTTTAAAATCTTCCTGTGATTTGCATTTTTAGCAAAAAAATAAGATGATTGTATGTTCTAAAAGATATGTGGAGTGTCTCATTCTGTCTAAGCATTTCTGACTGTATGTCTGGATTTGGATAACTCCAAATCCATCTAATCTGCACCTTGCCTACAGTACGAATGTATCAATAGCCTTCCTACCATCAGGAGAAATTATTTTTCAGAATTATTTTTGAGTTGTAAGCCATTCTGACTAAACAGTGTTCAAGTCTTTTCCAAAATGTTATATGTTCTGTACTAATTAGAAGCTTGTCCATTACCCCGAAGATACAACACTTCAAATAAGTACAGCATTACTTCAGTTGCATCAAGTTAAACTATTTCTGAGCAACTGATTATTTTGCTTCATTTGAGAAATACCTATAGCTGCTCTGGCAGCAAACAACCAACCACACTGAAATTATATGCTGATGCCTGTTGTTCCAGCAGCACTATCTATTCACTCTCCTGTTTCTTAATTCACCAACAGGTTGCGTGTGCTAGTGGCTCTCCGGAGTCGGGACACAGACAACAAACTAAAGCTCGCCTGAGCCAGCGAGCTGTTTCCCTGTGCGGGTACCGGCGTCAGCTGAACTCGCACTCGCTGCAGAAGGAAAGAGTTTAAAGAAACTGCTACAACAGGCTTCCCTCTCTCAATTTACGGGTATTGCTTTGGGGTTTTTTTTGATCAGAAATTCATGGAAGCAGGGACCGTCCACTTTGTATTGGAGGTCTATGATGGGGGGAAGCGTTTCAAAGATTTCATTATCATACAAACCGTGCTCCTCTTCGTAAACGGGCACACGGTAAGAGTGAAAACAACTGAAAAGAGGATTCTCCCCCAAACGATTCCTCCTCTCCTTCCTCCTGCTAACACAACTGTCCAGAAGTAACCCTGTGCCCGTGTCCCACCGCCAACCACAAGCACTGGCCCAACGCAGGGCAGTGGGAAAGAGCTCACCTTCCCCATGCACAGCAGCCCGGCAGGGACTGATCGCAGAACCCGGACACTCCAAATGAGCCTTTTTTGCGTCATTTGCGCGAGTGCCTTTCACAGGGAAAAGGGGTATTTCAACACGCACACCGCTCACGAGGCAGCGGCGAGGGTGGCGAAGTGCTGGATTTTGGCAG